ATATCTCTTGGGTGACACCATAGACTTATATCACAATATCCTAGACTTGCGTACTACGCCATATCTCTTGGGTGACACCATAGACTTATATCACAATATCCTAGACTTGCGTACTACGCCATATCTCTTGGGTGACACCATAGACTTATATCACAATATCCTAGACTGCGCACCCTGGCGTAATTCCAATTCACTTTGGAGTGCATCATTTGACTATATTGGGAAACAAATCATGAAAGGAAAAAAGGGGGCGGAAAAGGGGGGGGGAGGTGAGCGTAAGTTAGCGTTATACAATTGATAGTATATTATTATGCGACATTACTCCTCTGTAAAAAATAAAATTTACTTAGCATTAATGGGGGTTAACAAAGGAAGGAGGTGGGAGGACATACTACGCAACTCGTTAAAGACTATAATGAGACTAATATTATAGATAATAATTATTAATTATCTCTACCTTTTATTCGTCGATCGTCCATGGTGCAAACGATTCTGACCTAAATTATTATGAAGAGAAAAGAGTGGCAACCAAGAGGGTGCACGATCAATGATAATGACAATGATGTAATAAGTCAAGTCTATGGGTGCGAGCTACCCCAGTGCGGGTGTCTGTGGTGTAATGGGTATAAAGAAAGACACTTCATCAAGACTTGCTGAGAGTCCGTTTTTCCCGGCAGAGAGAATTTGTGAGGCAGCGTGGTGGAATCTCGTCAATTTTTGGGGCATGTAGAGTTATTGGTATCATCTTAAAGCTTGTTCACTTGTCTTTATTTGTGTGAAAAAAAATAGTTGTTTATCTTAAATACAAGTCGAGATATTTGAGAATGAAGGGGGAGGGGGTCACCTGTTTTCAGAGGTAAATTTGGTGAGAAAATGGCTGCCAAAGATTAGTTATTTCCTTAGCTTAAGAGTCCGTTGTAACTGAACATTTACATATTTTGGGCCTTTAATCGACTTTTTCATAAAAATCCTCACAGTAATGAGTTCCTTAATGGGCATGAAAGGCGTTGAGCCCAAAAACAAAAATCTGATAAAAATGCACAAACCTGGGGAAAAATGCAAGTTTCTTCACTATGATTATTTTGACGAGAGCCTGATCCCACCACGCTGCCTCACATTTGTATCCAGTAGATCTATCTCTGCTGGGATATTGCATTCCACTCACCCAGGGTGGATTTAGATACAGCCCGCCTCCAAGATCGTTAGTTAGTTTAGTTTTAGCTTTAGTAGAGTTTTTTCGACGCTCGCAACTGCATAAGGTTATATAAGCGTCAAAGGGTGGATGTCAACAGAGAG